AACGAGGGTCGCGGGCAATCGGCATGGATGAAACGCAGCGAGTTTCCTCGCAATTGCATTCGTGTTTTTGTTTTGCGCTGTTCCGAAGGGTCTGAGAGGGCGTGCCAGAGCGCTTCGGTTGCAGAGAGGGCCGCTGCGAATGGTTATCATCCCCTTGCACTTTCCTCCGTGCCCGAGCCGAGGCAGTTTAGCCGAGGCGAAGTGGGAGAGGGCGGTCATTGCTATGATCAGATGGCTCCACGAAGTATTGTCTTGGCAGGGAGCGCGGTGGTCACCGATCATTCTGACGGACCTCAACGCGCGCTTCAAGAGCGGAGTGGATGACCTCGCGGCCAGCTTCAACACAGGGGGCCACACCTACGCCAGCGAGATGACGATCCCCCTTTTGGCCTCACACAAGATGAGCGCAATTAATGCGCACCGCGAGCAGGGAGGTCCGACCTACTACAACAAGGGAGTGGCGAGGACCTTGGACCACATTTTCGCACCGGCGCAGTGGCGACGATCAGTCCTATGGTGTCGGTGCCTGCTACGCTCAGCGTGGCGATTGCAACTTCACAGTGTGAATGGGCTGTGGGATCATGTGCCAGTTGCGGCGTGCTTCGACTTGGCTATAGCGACGGAACCTTCCTCACCACGGCACAATAACCTAGTGAATAAGGAGACGGTCGCGAGAATGTTGCAGCTGGGCACGAAGCGAGCACAGTTCGTCAGGCATGTCGAGGTTTTCTAGAGATGAAGCGGAACGAGATGACGGCGATGCAGGTTGAAGAGCGCCCAGACTTCATCAACCAAGTGACCCATGCTGGAATCAAAGATGCGGCGGAGAGATATTGCACAGAGAACACAGGCCACACGGGATGTCACAAAGCACGCGCACGTGATGTCCAACAATTATTGTGGCAACGACGGGATGTACGGCAATACTTTGCATCATTATCGGAATGGCTTGGGATCGATCCGCGGCCCATCCAGGGCGCGATCGGGAAGTCGGAGCGAGCTGAAACGCAGGCAGGCGAATGCATGGAGACCGAGGGCGGCGATCGGCCGGGCGGTGTTTTTTGCGAGGATATGTTTTTGGAACTGGGCGCTGAGAGATATCGAGAGTTGGTTAGCAGAGGATTCCGCAGTACACAGATTCAGAGAGTTATCTTGAGCAAGAGACTGCAGGCGCGTCTCAAACTCCATAGCAGATGGCTCGCAACGCAGAAGCGGCAGCATTGGAGTGGAGTAACTGAAATGAAGCGCGAAGAGTTCCAACGGGCGGTCAAGGCGACGTACTTTCATCAAGTGCACAAGATGGCGAGACTTATTGCGCAGCGTAGTCGAGGTGGTCGTAAGAGACGGTTCAATATACATCAGATACCTGAAGGAGCGGAGGAGTGGATCCGCAAGATGCAACGACGAGGACCTGATGGCGGATGCTCGGCCGCACTCACTACGGAGACGGAGGCGCGCCAGACGAGGGCGGCGGCGGCGGGGACTGTTTTCACCGAGGATGAGATCATTGAGGAGGCCAAGGGTCTTCGAAGCGCGGCTTTGCGAGCGAGATTGCGGAAGGCAGCCCCTGGCTGGAGCTCCAGCGCCGAGGTGTTGAGGCGCATGATGTGTCCGAGGTGGGTGAACAAGCGCACGATTGAAAGTAGAAGGAGTGGGGTCTGGATCAGAAGTCAGTGAGTGGAAGACGCCGCAGTTCAATGTTTCTTGAGAGCGCTGGTCGAATCTATTATTGCCACACAGCGTCTACCACTGCTGTGGCTTCGAGCGGAGGCGGCATGGGCACCGAAGGGCAACGAGAAGGCTTGCGTCGACGGGGAGAGGATTGTGATGTTGATATCTACGCTGGCCAAGTCCTACGATGGGCATATGTTATCTAAGACGGCGATGTTGGATGTTCCCAGTTGGGCTTACGGCGCGCTCAAACACAGAAGGCGAGAAGGAGCGATTGTGGTTCAGATGTGTAGCGCCTGGGAACTTCAGACGATGGGTATGCGACATGCGAGGCGGCCCCATGACGCGACCCATGCGTTCTTCTCGATTAAGGCGGAGCGGCTCAACCAGATCGTGCTGAGATATTTGAACGAGCGGCGCGTGACAATGATGGCAGATCGTATCAAGTACGCGCACTTTGTTCTGGCGGGCCAAGAGTCCGCCCTGTTGCTGATGGGCGAGGGCTGCATGCCGGGTGATCCGATGAGGGCGCTCCCCTTTGCGATCGCCTACGCGCGAGGGTTGGAAGCGCATGCCTTGCACGAGCGCGCAATGGCGGAGGTGGCGTCTCCACGGACGGACGGACGAGAGCAAGCAGCATTCACCTTGTTTGTAGACGACGTGGCTGACATGTTCCTTTTCGGCGACAGGCAGGAGGCGATCGACAACGGCAAGGCCCAGAACGATGCGGCGCAGCAGAAGCTGAGCGAGATGGGGTTGTGCCAGAACGCTAGCAAGCAGGAGACGGCGCCATAATTGCCGCGGGAAGGCAGCACGCAAGCTGGAGCGA